TTCTACTGAAGGAGGTAGTTCCCACAGCCACACCTTATCCAGATTTTATTATGCCAGAAGTGATTTCATATCAGGTAAGACCAATCCTTTCCACAAATGTCAACAACATTCTCCACATTTCTCACTATAGTAATGCCCATGCTCTGCCGTACCGGTTTCCTTCTGGGAATTCCTTAAACAAAATGTGTACCTTCACATGAACTTCCACAGGGCTTTGCGTATGATTATAGGCTCCTTTTTAGGTTACAGAGTATTCTACCTCCAGCCAAACTCAAACTGTCAACCTTGTCTGTGGGGGACGGGAGCTTATCCATTAAGCTATGGAACCCGAACCCTAATTTGATTTTATTATTATTATTTTAATTCTATGAATCTATAGAAAAAGAAGTTTGCCGCAGTTTTTATTTGATAGATGCTTAAATTTTGAACGAAGATTCCTCGACACTTACCTAATCAAAAGGTTAATTACTATAAAATAAAAATTGTGGCATCAAATAGGTAATATATTTACTGTAAAATGATCGATTTGACATAGTATCAACTAACTATACAGTAACTTGACACAATATTTCATGAACCTAGAATTTGATTTGGATGATTTTAGGTTCGTTAGAACATTTCTATAATATATAACTTGCATATATTTGTTTAATGAGAGCATAAAAAAGGATTTAGCCCAATTCTCAATCATAAATAAACTGCCATCGTAGACAACATCTTAAATAATTTTTTTCGAATCAGAAAATAAAAGTTTATCAATTAAAATATGAAAGAATGGAAAATTAAATTAGTAATAGCGTTGTAAAAAAATAAATAAATAAATAAATAAATAAAAACAAATTAACTACAAAGGTTAAAGTAGACTGTATCTGAAATAACCATACCAAAGATAAATAACACCAATCACTAATTTTCTGCCCATCAAACAAGTCAGTTCATAAATAACACTATAAAAATTTTTCGAGATTATCGTTCTATTATCGTTCCGGAAAATGCTTATTTTTCGGGACAGATCATATACAAATTCCTGGTCATTTCCATAGAATCCCAGTAATTTTCGGGTAGAAAATTAAAAAATCCTGGTAAGATTCGGTTTATAATCTTTTGTACTTCATTATAATTAGAAGCCGGATCTTATTCGGATTTGATTTTTACACGGAATTATTAGGATTCTATGGAAATAACCAGGAATTTATATATGCTTTGTTCCGAAAAATGAGCATTTTCCGGAACGATAATGAAACGATAATCTGGAGAAAGCCGGGATACGTTGTTCAAAAATTTTTTATAGGGAAAGTTAATAAGTAAACAAGAATCTTATGATTTAAGAAAAAAAAATCTATGCGAAATTCTATTTCGTGCCCCTAATCAATTACGTGATATTTGGCCAACCAAATTGCTAGAAAGGTTGGCCGGGGCATGGAATTATTAGGTGATTATGGGCACGAAAAGAATTTTTCGATATCTTTGGGAGAGCCCAATCACTGATATTAGTAAACACTTGGATCGGGTGCCAACGTTGCATAAAGTTCGGTCACTCATACTCCAAGTTCAAACGTTCTCATTATCGTTATGCGCTCTCACTATGATTGGTGTGATAAGTTAAATACGCTTATGTAATTTTTATTTTTATTTTCTAATCAGTTGGCTAATCGTAAACTCAGTTACGACAAAGTTTGCAGAATTTGCTTCTTGGAAGACTCAGGCTCCGATTTAGATTCAGTTCATCGAAACAACCATTCTAGATAATCAGAATAACACTAGCATAATACACAAATATTTTATTGAAGCCCATCAACTAAATAAAATTGTTTTGAATATACATGTATAGTGTACTGTACGGAAGATAACTTAGTACTGTATTTTATAAAATTTTGAAATGATACGATACAGTACGAAGATACATATATATAAAGATAACTTCGTACTGGATTGTATAGAATGTGAAGTAAAGACCAATACAGTACGAACTATGTATGTATCGTAAATACACCAATCGGGGCACGGTTACGGATAATTCGACATTTTATTTTGCAATGTAATTTCTTTATATCGAACTTTTTATAAAGAGCTCATTCTATAATAAAAATTTTTTAACAAATTTATTATATATAGAGTCGATATAGGAACATAGTAAATTACTTCTGCAATGAATTTTTAAAATTTTTACTATAAGAACTGTCAGTTTATTATAGAAAGTTACCTGTATACAAATTTTTTTTATTTGTTTGCATTTATACAGTATTTCATCAAAAAATAAAGGTGGTCTCCTATATAGATATACAAGAAAATACGATTACAACTCATTCACTATAATGAAGTCCTCAGGTTAGGAAAAAATCCACAATAACTTATATCAAGAAAATACTAAACATATTTTACTAGATGTGATTGAAATTTAATAATTCTGCAATTCAAAACTCTTCATTATATCAAAAGTTTACTGTAAAGCTGTATTTTGACAGACTGGTTTATTCGTTATCTAACTTGTGAGTATATTTTAAAACTCTATAATATTTTATAGCCTCGTTCAAATTATTTATTTGTGCTAATTTGGTTCATGAATATAGTCGAAGCTTATGATAACGAACTTCTTTATAATGAACCCTGGACATAACGAACATGAAAATTTAAATTTTATATTAGTTGAGTTTGGAAAGTGTAGATATTTTTTTTGTACATTCGATGATTTGATATTGTTTGTACAATATAATTCAAATCATTTTATTGAAATAAAATTTCTGAAAAATGTTGACTTTTAAATTTGCTACTTCCATTATTACACAAATTAAAAAAAACGAATGTAACCGAAACTTATTGGGATTAATTGCCCTTACAAAAAACTACTGAACCCGTTAAAAAACCAGTAAGTATATAGTATATTATTTTTTTATAAATGAATACGTATATAGTATACTAACAAATGAATTTAAAAGCAAAGACAAGCATTCTAATTAAATCTTCGTTAGCAAAAATCTAAAAACTCTAATTGCAAGTGAATCCATTAATATTGAAAACAAAAAAGGTTTTTAAGGATTGAGCATGAAAAATTTGTGAGTCAAAAGGATAAAATAATGAGTTGAAAAAAGAAAGTATGTGAAAAAAACTTATAGATTCATATGCATTTTACAAATAGTTACATCGATATATTATATATATAATGTTATTGGTTTTAATTAACATCGCAAATTCGAATGTGAGGCGTGTATAAATTACTCTTTTAAAGTGAAACTTTTTTTATTAAATTATCGTTATACTGTATTTATCTATGTAATAAATTATTTAAAATTATATAATTTACCGGCCACAATCCTAACAAATTAGTGAGTTCAGTAAGCAATAAACTTGAATCCTCAATAACAGGGTTTCCCTTCGCAATAATTTTAAATTGCTTTCGGTAATGATATTAAAAGGCTTAACGTATTGTACTGTACTGTCGTTTATAATTTTTATTCAATACAGTACAGTACTCATTTACATTTTATATAATGAAAAGGTGTAATGTGCCTATATTTATGTACACTACAGTACATTCAATAACAAATAAAGTACGAAACTTCTACACCCCGGGATCTTTTTGGGTTAGCATCGCTGGAGTTGCTTTTGTGACATCCAAGAATTCACGGCAAATATCCTCAGAATGTCGTTGTGATAGTGGAATTATTACTTCCTTTTTATCATTATGTTCTTTCATTTAATGCAAATTGAGTCAAGTAATCATCGTAGAGATGTAAAAACTAAAATACATATATAATATATTTACCAAATTCAACAGTCAGAATCGGTTTAACACCGTACTCTTTAGATATTAAAACGTCAATATTAAGATCAGGATTGTTAAAAGCTATTCTCGGTAAGTTTTCTCTCAAAAAATATCTATAATTTAAATAAATTCCACTAATAAATACCAAAAAGAGAATCGAATAAAGTATAGAATTTATCTACCTTGCACCAGCATTATCTTGCTTTCTAGAAAAAACTAAAGAGACTTTTTTAACATCAGGATCCAATTTAGCTGCACCTAAACCTGTGCGAAGGTCAATTATAAGTTTGGCAGTTTTAGATAGAGTTGCTAGTTTTTTGGTCACGGATGCCATTTTAAACGTGGTTAATCGTTGGTTGATTATCTGATAAAATTTGAAAGATTTAAAATTTATTTAACCAATCAAATTATTTAAATGTGACACAGATTTTGCCAACCAGATTGCGATATTAAGTCATTTGATTTATCATGTGAATAATCCGATAATAGTTCTCGAACATTCTCTTTGCTGGCTAAACAATTAATGTTATTAAGCTTTAATAATGACAGTAAATTTTGTAGTATTCAAAATATTTCAGAAAAATAGTACTTAAAAGTTTCTAGACAAATAACATTTTTTTTAAAAATGTCATTATTGCGTTTACAAAAAAAAGTTAAGTATCACAAATTTGCGTCATCATTAAAAATCACGAAGCAAATTTAGTTCGCCAAACAATGATTGTCTCGGTATGTTAGTCAATTTATTATAATTTTTAGCTTAAAAAATGACATTTTTATATTACCAATAATTTTCAACTAATGTCATTATATTAAATAGTCATTCAAGCTCACACTCCGACAAAAGCTTGTGTGCCATGGTTATACTATTCGTAATTCATTTATCATTAATCTCATCAGTGACTATTTTTAATACGTCACTTGGAAAAAAAAATTCAAATAAATATCATCCCACAATAGATATCAATAGGATTGTTGTTTGGGTTGAATACCTTATTTTACGGTATTTTATCTTTTCTTCTTAACCCTCGTATTTAACATCAGTTCTTTCGTGTTTATTACCTAATATATACTTTAGAATAAGTCGTGTTACACTTATACCCAAAAAAGTTATATTGATTATTATTATTTAGCAAAACTAAATTAAATTGAAAGAAAAAAAAAAAAAGAACGATGGGTCGCTTCAAACCAGTATTCAAAACATCAACTTCTGCCGCGTCTTCATCGGTTATTTCTCCTTCTGATACTAATACCTCAAACAAAGCGACCACAAATGCCGAAGTTGAAACTTTACCGGGGTCAACACCGCAAAATACTAATAATGACACGCAGTCTAAGGTTTCGGACAAACAAAAAAGTGTAAATAACGCTTCAACACAGAAAAATAAAAAAACTCAAAAAATATCCGATGCTGGCCAAGTAAAAAAGGCATATCCACCTCGTAAAAAAAAGACCAATGCTGCCGATGCAACTACACCTTCCGATGTATCACCAGAATCCACTAAAACTACTCGTAAAAGAAAATCGAAGAAAGAACAACAAGGAGTACAAGCAAAAACAACGGAAACTTCAAATATTAATGCTGACGTAGGTGAAACAACGTCACAAGTCGTTGCAAATAATGGCGACATACAACAACCATCATCGGATCCAGTTTCGTCAACGACTTTAGAAAGCTCTGTGGCTGATAATCAGGCTCAGGCTGTCGTTCCGGTTAAAGCTCCAAGAAAGCGAAAGAGTAAAGTCGTTAATGCAACAGCTAATGATACGAAAAAAGAAACGAACAATGATGGCGAGTCTGCGGAACAGGGAAAACCCAAAAGAGTAAGAAAGGCTAAGGACCCAAATGCTCCTAAAAAGCCACCAAATGCCTACATGCAATTCTCAAAAGTTAAGCGGTAAGTATTAAAAAAAACACGCTTATTATTCTTACCAATGTTGTGAAAATAATGAAATTATCACGATATTCAAAAAAAACATAGGCCAGAAATTAAAAAAGAAAACCCGGATGCGAATCCGAAAGAAATACTTACTTTGATCGGAGAAGCGTGGAGAAAAATGTCCGAAGAAGAGAGAAAAGTAATTACATTATCTATTTATCTATATTATTATTCTATATATATTATTTTATGCTTTTTCTAATAAATGATTACTTTTGACAGCCATACCAAGATATGGTTAAGGCAGCTATGATCGAATACGAAGAACAAATGAAATCTTATAAAGGAGTATGTATTAAATTTAAAATTAAATTTAATATTTGAATTTGATATTGACGTATTAATGTTATTAACATTTATATAATGTGTGTACAAGTTATGCGCAAATTCCCCTGTAGATGGGCAAACGCCAGATGCATATAATGCATATACTCCAAATCAAAATTTGGATACTCAAGAAGTCGATCAACAAAACATATTAGATGCGTCGGTAGTTCCAAATGACACGAATCAAAACTTGTCAGGAATAATGGTTTGTGATAGTTCGCAGCCGGATCTCTCTCAATTAGCTGTGCATCAACCCTTATCATCTGGTGTATCGTTCGAAAATTACGCGTCATACGGCCAACGGGACGATATGGAAGCTTTATTAGACATGCCAGATGTTGGACATTCCTATGAATTTCAAACTAACGATCCGAACTTATACAATTCTGAACAACTATTAACCGACATTCAAAATACTGGAAATACCTTCGATTTTCAATCGACGAATTCTAACTCTAATAATGCTCAATTATATGATAATTCGGCCTACCAATTTCCGGCAACTATGTTACCATTAGCCATGAACATTCAAGAAAATCAGAATTCTCGTGGCTCATATTTTTATGGTGAACAACAACAACAACCTCAAGTTGTTAAGCAAGATCTATTACTTTACGAAACTCCAGTTGTTCAAGAGAATCATGAAGTTTCCGAATCTGGAAGCAGTCAAGAAGTCCATAGCTCTCCAGTTATTGTTAAAAAAACAGAAAATAATTCCGGTAATTTACTCTTATGTCAACCATTCGAACCATCCAATGGAAACAATAATATTAGTAACATTGACATAGAAGGGAATGGTCATTGGTTTCAAGATGAAGCTCAGTTCCAAGATCCTGCGAATTATGCACAACAGTATACCGAATACCAACAAGTCCCACATGAGGTGCCACAACAGAAATTACTTCAAGATAATTCGCGGCAAATATCGCGACAAGAGTATTATCAAAAACAAATGTCACAACATCATCAACAACAAATGGCATCATGGTAATAATGATGTTATTGTTAAATTTTATCGACCAAGTCAACAAGTTGATAAAAATTATTCGTCTTAATCTAGTCAATAGTTCTATAATTTAAAACCAATTATGAAATAAATTCAAAACCTAATATTGCATTTAATACATTTTATATTCACTTTCGTTTAAGATTGTTATTTGAATGTTACTAAGTTTAAAGCCTGTAGATAGGAATCTTAATTTCACTGTACCGGACTTAAACTTTAATGTTATGCAATTTGAGTAGATAGCACT